GGGTCGAGAGTGTGCCAACAGTGTGTTCCGAAAACTTAGCTGTCATCACAAGTATGCAGTGAACTCGGTGTGGCTTTGTAAACTATTCCGGGCTCCCCGGGGATTCCATTTCTTGCTCTGTTGGTTGCCAACTACAAAGTGTAGACAAGCGAATGGGGGATCGTCGCTGATTGCATGTATGTGTGCAAACTGTTGTCCTACACGTGTAGTGGAAGAGTATTCGGGTCAAATTCTCAAGAAGTTTGTGTCCTAACTGCAATTCGATCGTTACATCTATACGCAGTACACAACAACAGCTATATACCTTCTCAATTAGTCCCTCAGACAAGCTGCTTTAGTCTCACAACGATTGCTCCCTAACGAAGTGGCGGGTTTGGTAAAACCTGAAGGACTATGACCAACTAATGGGACCCAAAAAGGATTAAATAAAAGGTGAGGCACATGACTGTGGCAATCGATAACCTCCGTTTTCTTGGGCAACTAGCAAGCAGTTTGTTTTAGCAAATGACAGTTGCCTAGGCAACGTGAATGAACGACAGAAGTAGGCTAGTATTTCTTAAAGGAAACTACTCACAAGGTTGCTGGAAGCTCTTCGACAGCCCACGATCGGTTTCGCCCCTCTTTAGGCTCATCAGGTAGGTGAAGTCCCCGAGTTTCCGTCAACCTTATGTTCTATTTGAACCCAAATCGGATTATTTTGGAGAAACAGACTCATTTACAAATCAATTCGGATTCCACGGGAGACTCAACTGACTATCATAAACGAGAGATTCAGTTGGGTCTCTCGTGAAAACCAAAGTGATTTGCAAATGAGTGAATTTCACGAAAACAGTCCACTTTGGGTTCAAGTAGAACATAAGGTTGACGGAAACTCGGGGACTTCACCTACCTGATGAGCCTAAAGAGGGGCGAAACCGATCGTGGGCTGTCGAAGAGCTTCCAGCAACCTTGTGAGTAGTTTCCTTTAAGAAATACTAGCCTACTTCTGTCGTTCATTCACGTTGCCTAGACAACTGTCATTTGCTAAAACAAACTGCTTGCTAGGAGTAGGTCAGTATTTCTGTTGATTTACATATACCAAAATATGAACGATACTCGCACCCGGGTTGATCATCGTGGCCATTCGGTTAGCTTGCTACGCTAGTCATCGATCGCCAAGTAACCTGACAATCCATACATATATGGGTAGTAACTGCATTGGAGTCACAGCAACAAATCTCGACGTGTTAATGACACGTGGATATTTACGCTAGTCTTGCATGTGCTACAATCTCAGCCAACTTAATCCTTGTTGGGAGACTTTCAAAATGTCCATAAACCTAGTCAGAGACTGAGTTGTGTAGCTCGTTAGCCGGGAGGCAGTGTACAGCCGTTTCATCCGCAATGGGGTTCATTAACAGCATGCATTGGACCTTCGGCCTCCTAACCCCGGGTGGCTGAGTAGCGACGTGATTAACTCGCACCTACACAGAATATAGCGACGTTCATCCTCCATTCGTATAATCAACATCACGTGGGCACACGTGCTGACTGGCTCCTCGAGAGATAGTAGTTCTACTCATCTTTTGTGCAACTTATGGATTACTGGTGGCTTTAAACTCAAGATGTCCTATTGGCCACGAAGACTCCAGCCAGTTTCCGGTCTTACTAACTTCACCATACATGTGAGTTTTAGAAAAAAGGTGGATCCTCGGTCTCCCCTTTCCCTGACCAGATTAGCTTTAACAGCTTTTGAGAGATCGAAGTCTTGAATGTCACCTACAGCAGGTGGTAAAAATAATTTGGGGAAAAACTGACTATTTATTCATGGATAAAATCCACCCTGAAATTGCTGTTCACTGATGACTTGACGGTCACAGTTAGGAGAGTGACGAACATCAGTCTGCCGACTTGATGGACCCAAATTCCTTTCGAGTATCCTACGTGACTTCAAGGACAAATTGCAGAAATTCTGAAGGGTCAAGGCAAGTCCCACTCATAGGAATGAAAACTTTCCGTAATAATTCTGAACTGGTAATCCATTACTTTGTATCTTGTGTATGCTAGTGCATAACTACAATGGCCTAGCCTTATTCATTGGTTCGCTTACCTCAGTGATTGGGGGCACGTTCACTCTGTCTACGGCTATCGATCATCCAGGGCGATCACATTAGCCAATGAGGTGTGAGATGTAGATAGTTCTCGAATGTTCTGTTCCCTTGTTGGTGAATATGTGTAAATTTCCGTCGGTCAACGATATCACATCAATCGTAGTGACAGTCACACAGAAACAGCAACAGCAACTCTTTAGAGCAGCAGAGTTAACTCACGGCAAAAAAGCAGACACCTGATACGACATAGGTTTTTACGGAAAACCAAACAGTTTATTCCCCAGGATCCATAGAAAACCCAGCACATCGGGTTCACTCACCGCTGACTGAAAGAACATCTAGGCAGAATTTGAATCACAGGCCCGAGCATCCGGAGGCCGGTTTATTGGCTCATTGACTCGTGCACTCTGCCTACGGTTATCGATCATCCAAGATGAGAGCATGCACCGGTTCATTCATCTAGTTATCGTTTCACGTGATCAATGGCTGCAAAGTTTTCATCACCATACAAATAGATCTCAGTTAGTTGGCCCTCTGTTCCGCTCATACATCGCATTGATGAGTAGTTTCCAGTCGACAGTAATGAACATCAAAGAATTTGACAGAGACGCTTAATTGCACAGTAAATTGGCACTAATTTGACAGGAGACCCAACTGATCCGGCTAAATTTCTTTTTTTATGACGGTTCACTTCAACTGAATGTGATGCATCAGGTCGCCTCATGTTCCAGGTGGTACGATATTCGAGATGTCGCAAAACATTGTTGTCTACATGAAACATACTAATCCAATTTGGGTTCAAACAAAACAGAGTTAAAGGAATGCACTACTCATAAGGTTGCTGAAAATTCGTCGACAGCCCACGACTGGTTTCGCCCTTCTTGGGGCTCATCAGATATGCGCAGGAAGGAAACTCAAAGACTGCATCTATCTGATGATCTAGAGGAAGGACGACACCGGTCGTGGGCTGTCGAAGAGTTTTCAGCAACCTTCTAAGTAGTATAACAAGTCCAGACAACATTCAAGAATGTTAAATTATGACCACTTCCCGTTTTAGTCGGTAACTACACATTTATTCTGTTCAGATCACCTCCAGGACAAGCCTGAAATGGGGCGAACAGATAATTCTTCCCCATTCAAAAACCTGGAGCCCAAACGTCATTGCTTTATCCTGGTTACAGAGCATGTTAGGCGGTCCATTCCATCCGGGGCAGTATCCCACGAAAGAGATGTCGGTTTAGCCATTGAAGACAATGTGTTATGTTCACCTCATAATCTATTGTTCTAGTCCCGCATGGTACTGCCGACGGCGAATGGTCAGGTCATGCCGTGGAGGGGTAGGGGACGGAAAAGTGTTTGTCCAGGCAGATGACATGTGTCTACAGGTGTTCGTGTTCACGCAGTGGTGGTAGGAACTGGTGAATGAATGTGCCCTCGTAGGTCATGCCGAATAAAAGAACACAAATTACTGCCTAACGACGGAGATAGGCTACACACCAGTCAATAATGGAGACGTACTAAGGGACAAGTTTGAGAACTGAAGAGGGGATGCATAGTTGGATCAATCTAGATGACGAAGGTGCCAGGTCAAATGAACAAGCACCGAGCTTGGATTTATGAGTTTAATTTTAAGAACAGAACGAGATGGAGCTTGAAACACTCAGTATCTTGAGCTTTTCATCTTAAGTGAGGATCGTAATGAGGGCTCGCAATTAGCACTTTGTTTGATTATGCATGAGCAGTGGCCCCAGTGGGAAGTGAGAATCAAAGTACAGCGAAAACCAACTGGACTGGATCGCCAAAAGAGCTTGAAAACCACGTAGTGAGAAGAATGACCACGCCCTGATTGGCTGGCCACTCGGATGACCTTGACTACCGAAGTTCTACTCCGTACAGAAGCGGAGCCCGAATAAAAGACGTCAAACGGATGTAAGCACAATCAAATGGCCCATTATCATGAAACCTATAAGCATCTTCGTGTTTAAAGCGTTCAGCCAGCGGAACGGGCGTCTGAAATAGACAGTTGCAACCGCAACTCTGTCTTAAATAGAATATTGTAGGATCAGGCCTGATGAACCTTGCTGACGACTAAAAGACAGCTCTTCATATTAACTATACTCCTTTCCATAAAGTACCCCGGTCTTTTCTACTTAAAAGCTTACTCAATGCCTTTTTAGGTCTATATTCGGCCTTTTGTCCTGATTTTAGTCAACTGACTAAGCTTTGATCTTACCTACCAGAATTCAGCCAAACTTTCCACAAGGGGGAAAGGGACTGCCTTCAAAGAGTTTAATCAGTTAGTCGTGAAGGTCGAGATAATGGGCCAACCACTCAGCTTTCCATAAACACGCACACCCAAGTCCAAGGTTAGTCCAAAAATAGCCAACCGGGAAGTCTTAGGGCAGTTTCGTTTGAATGAAACAGCGATCCATCCCTAACCGGAAGTTTGGCATCCCACATAGTCCCGTAAGAGTACAGTCTTAACAACTTCCGGTAAGGCTGGAACAGCTATACAGTGTTTCTTGGAGTTTTAGCTTGGAATGACTGTTTACAGCATAATGTCCACATTTGAAAATTCAAAATCCCGGCCACAAAATGCTGTTGAAAATCGGCGTCCGAGTAGAATTATTCAAACGGTGCTTGAATAAGGGGCCGGAAGAATTTTTTATGGGGGGGGGACGCGCCATTCTGGACCCCTCCACTCAAGGAGGATCACTTTGGTAAGGGAAGTGAACGCAACGCCAACAAAGGGCGCTTAGTGCGCTGTTAGATCCTTCCCGTTGTGACAGCCTAAGAATATGGAAACAATTTAAAGTGAACTATCTTATGCTTCAGTAATCCAGCATTGTAACCTGTCGTACGCCTACCAAACCAGAAAAGATAGACTGATTGCGAATAGTCTTCGCTTACCATTGTTCTGGGTACTGTTGGACTGCGAAGAACGAGTTCGCTCTGTCTGTCCCCCGGGACCACTTAGACCGAATGTGGATGGTGTAAGTTGATTAATTTCCGAGTTTTGTGAGATGTTTTTGCCTCCTTTGAGCAGGTCTGCAACCGCGGTACTAGTCTCCATTTGATCTAGCGATCCACTGGATGGGGAAGCAGGTATGGGATCGGCGAGCCCCGCCGGAACAGATGGTGTCGCACTCGAATTGTTGCTGGGCTGAATGTCCCCGTTTGTTTGACCGTTGCTCGTGGATTCAAAGTGAGGTACAGGGGTCAGCGGGTAACTGACAGTGGCTAAATCCTGTTCGGTTGTCTTGTTCACGATAGGAGGGACCTCTGACGTGACGTGTTCAAACTCACTTAGTGATTTGTTCGACGTAAGGCTACTTCCTGTTGGATCGATAGTCGTCGCCGTTTGTATTATGGCGACATCGCATGGTGAGGTCTGCGTACATAGCTCGGCAGTCATCTTCTTAGGGTAACAGACTCCGCGACTGTTATTCAATTTACATATAACAGCACAAAACTGCCGGTTGTGGTTCGTCCTGGTCGATGAATAGCAGCATCACAACAAAATGGCTAACTACCTATGTGGTGAAGACAATTTAGCGGCTAACCGCGGGGAAAACCTGTGAACGTTTCACCTCTTTCATATATGAGCTATTCTTCAGCCAGTGGTGTGTTACCCATGTCCACATAGGCAGCGTGAGTATGAGTCTGGGTGAGGATGACGAACTAACCAATCAGATTCGAGGATAGTACACACCCGCAAACTAGCGACGGTCTGGAGAACAGATAGATGAACAAACAGCCATCGGATTCAGTCACTTCTCCCCATCGCCCACTCTCCACCAGCGCTGCCCTTGTCTGTAACAGAGGCAGCAGTAGAATCACGTTCCCATAACAGTATCCAGCAAGCCAGTCACTTCTCGGGAAAATCAATAATTCGTGTTGCGGGAATAAAGATACGCCTCAAAATGACAGTAGCCATAGATTCGGGCTGAAAGTCAGGACTAATTGAATGTATGTACTTGGTAAGAATAGACAGTGCATTGTATGTTGTGTACGCCCCCTCTCCAAACGAAAAAAGCCCTGTAGGCTGGAGAAAATATACATTTATCAGTTATCCGTGTCCATTGTTCACCTGCAGTCGGTACCTCTTGCTTGCTTCATATAAAAAACAGAGGCATAAATGGATACTTTCAGTGTCTTTGTCCCTCAGTTGTGCTTGAAGTCTGCACAGGATTGTAACGAGAACATCATAAACGAGAGATTCAGCTGGGTTCCAGGTGAGTCTCTCGAAAGAACCAAATTGGTTTGCAAATGAGTGTATATTCGCTAATTTCGTGCAATTTGGTTTCAAGTCGTGGGCTGTCGATGGATTTTTAGCAAACTTATGAGTAGTAAATTACAAAGGATTGTAACGAGATTGGTGTCGGTTAGAAGACTTTGGTTGGAAATTTTTCAATTTGAAGAGGATAGGGATTTTTGGAGCACAAGGCAGTTAGCCGAAGTACTGAGTTGTATTGTTTATCCCCTTACGTGACCTTGTAATACACAGCAACCAGCCTGAAACAAGTTATTTTGAGGAAGCGAGAAACTTTCAAAACAGGATGCGACGTGGAGGTCGAAGGAGAGCAGCTGAACGAAGAGCCGTGAGTCTCAATGCTAGAAATAACGGTAAATTCGTACTGTCCTCTGCGACAAGGTTATGAAAGCAGTGAGTTGTTTCCTTTAGGCGCCCTCTTCGACAAGGGCATGAAAGCAGTGAGTTGTTTCCTTTAGGCGACCTGCATTCCCATATTTACGGAAACAATGATGCTCTCTTCCCCCGAAGAAAGCCAAATTAGAAAAGGGTAGTCTTGAAAAGCCCACACTCCGATTGTCCAATGGTTGACGGTGACTGCCGGCGAATTGTACAATACACTCGAAATACACTTGAAATCTACAAAAGCTGAATATGGCCCTGCTATGCGGAGTAACATCAGGAAGGAAACAACTGTACCTTAGTTCCTGAGCCTACGGGTTAGGCCAACCCTTGGGCAGCAAAGCGGCACAGACTATTGAGTCGTTGGCTCAAAAAAGTCCCCCCCCCCCCCTTTTGAGTCAAAAACTCGAAATTTTGCGAACCTGGAAAAGCCCATTTCCCCTACCTGGGTAGCCGGGAAGCGTCATTCACCATTGCAGCTCTTCGTTCATCGTGCCTCACAGCCCGCACCCCCTCCATACTCACCCAAAGTATATGGTCCACATTTCAGCTTTCAGTGTTTGTACTCTCTGTTAGGACAGCTCTTATTGAAGTCTGACATCCGTGGCGTCATATCAGTTTGCCTGTCAAGGGCAGAAGTGCGACCCAAATGATCTTGTGGATCAGAAACGTGGCCTATGCACGCAGGACGCATACGAAAGCTGCCACTGTTTGACCATTGGTGTCCCCGAAACACTGGTCGGGTCTGGTGGGAATACCGGACTGGCGATGCTGAGGTACGCCAGATGGAAAGAAGAAACTTCCCACGGTGGATGAGCTACCCACGGTTTACGCTGCTTAGAGCCCGTACTCCACATGCAAGGATGGACAGTCTGCGATCTAAAAGCGAAGTTTCAAAACACCAATGAGTAAAATCAGCCGGATTGTTAACTGTCGACTCCCCGGATGGAGACCCGGGGACCTGAGTTCTTGACTGTCAATCGCACAGCCAGTGGAGCTCATGCATCCAGGCTATCACATTCAATGCGTAGCTGCCTAGTTTCAGAACTGATTGACTGTGTCATCGCTTCCAATGTTTGGCTACATATCCTCTGTTCTCCTTTAATTCCGGTGACCGAAACTGTAGCAGTTGGAACATGGTCAGTATCTGTTGAACTGAAGTAAAGTGAAACTAATCATATGGCTCTAAGTGTACTCCTTACTCGGTAACGGTGATACTACTGATGGAGAGGCACGCGAGTAGTATGTGTGGTTCGTGGAATTTCGCTTTGCGTCTATTGAAAAGGGGAGACCTGTTGCGGAATTCGTGGAGTCACTTTGTAACATTTGATTGGATTTGAGCGAGGAATGACCGGAGTCAGTGAATCCCCAGGAAAGTTCAAAAAGACCCGTTCGGGAGAAGATGGGTGTCCAGTTTTTGTAAATAAGATGCAAATTAGAGTTTTGCTTCCCTGTTCAATGGTCTGTAACCGGTCAGTTGGCATTTCCGAATAAATACTCCGCAGCGAAAGCCTTCTTCCTTTCACACATAATTCATTTGTTCATATCTCAAGCACACCGCTTCTGTTGGTAAAAACGGCACTGGATGCCCATAGTTTTTAAAAGGCTCGTGGGTCATTCTGAATCATCTGCTGACTGGATGCACACGGGAAATCAGAACTTCAGTGATGCAACTGTTTGTAATTTCCTGTAAACGAATGTTTGACGCATATGAGGACTCTGGATTTAGTTGAGTCTGTCTTTCAGACAGTTTACTTTCTTGTGGAGATTTCGTCCTGTAAGTGAAGCCAATCTATGCTGAAAAGCCGAGAATCACTGTACAGCTGTTTCATCCTTATTGGGAATCATCAACAGTGGGCATCTCACAAAACTCCGAAGAGTCTCGAACTCGCGACCTACCGGCTAGTAGTTTGAACACTTAACCATTCGGCTACGAGCGGCTGATCAGCAGTGTGATTAACTCGCACTTAGACAGGATATAGCGCCGCTCATCCTTTAATCACGGGATCCACATCACGCGGTCACACGTGTTGACTGACTCTTCGAGCAACGACTTCTCAGAGGAAGTTTCACTCATCGGATGAAGTTTATTCTCCCACTGAGCTACTTATTGATTTGTTGGTAGTTGAGGAGATTTGAGATTTATTTTATGAGCAATACTACACAGAAGGTCAGTGTTGGGTTGATGTCGCGGAGGATGTTCTTCGAAACAAATGCGTTGGAAAGTCGCTCGGAGGCACTTCATCATACGTTTTTGACAGTTGTTTGACTGAGTAGTGGAAAGTGACTTTGAAAAGACATCTGGCCTGGGAATAATATAGAAGTCTGTCAAAACAACAGCCAGTAAAACCAGCGACGACCCTTGTTTAGACTTGGTTGGATCCGAATGGTTTCTTGTCCAGGATCCACCCGTTTTCATCCATCACTTTAACTAGGTTAAAGTCACAGAAGACCAAGCAAGACACGATAGCTCACACAAAGCCGATGAAAAAACGAAAGAAAGTGAGGGCACCCAGAGAGACAAGGGTAATTTTAGGTTGGTGGATGTTGAAAGCTACATAAAGTAAACAGGATATCTTGGGGTAGGTGAGGAAAGGTTTTCCACCTATTTTACGAGTTACCAGTTAGTGTAGAACAGCTGTCGCCCGGTCAGCCATGAAATCGACCGATTTGCTGAATGAATGTGTGACCATCTCAGGTAGCCTCCGTCTTGTTTCCAGGCTGTCCCGTGTACATGTGCACTATATTATATATATATATACAT